TATGTAAAAATACGAGAATTTTCTCGCTAAGAAATTCGTCGTCTAAAAAATTTAACCCATTTTAGATAAAAGCCTGTTTCATAACCTATTTTTAAATTATTGTGAAAGTTTCCTATGTATGTACATACCTGATTCTACTGTGCGGAAAAATTGGGTGTCATGATTTTGTGCCGAATAATTTTGCATGGCTTGCAAACTTTGGCGAAGTTCAGGCAGTTGTGGTGTTGTTTTTCTTGAGCCCCGGTTTCCAGTTCGTTAATTGGTGCTTCTTCTTGTCGTCTCGTTTTAACTTTGGGTGCCCCCACCTCGTTCATGGACCGGGGGTCGGATTCGGATCCGATTTCAGCAGAACTTCGAGAATATGCGTCTGATTAAATGATTTGTAATTTTTATTTAAGCCAAGGCTTTTGGCTTACCGAGGAGGTACATAAGCAAAAAAAAATTAAAATATAAACCGATTTGGAAACTAATTATGGCAAAAATTGTGGCAATTTGAAAGTGCGGGTTCGGCCGAATGATTGATTTTTGACTTTGTAGGCACGGGAAATTTGTACCTCGAGACAACCTTCTTACGGACGGACAAAACGATCACAACAAGCAGTAACATGCAGAATAATTTGATTTGAATCCTATGTAAATCAGTATGAGCAAAAGCACATAAATACGTGAGCCCATTGCATAAACTGATAAATTGATTAACAATTGAATGAGTTGGGTAATTGATTCATAAAGTAATTATATATGACTGATACGAACATATGTATGTACATACATATCTCTGCTATACATAGTCGGACCAGGTATTCCCGTACAAGCATTTCTAGTGATAAGTCTCAAAGTATTAGTGCTATCTATTCGAAATTTTTACGGATTAACAAGGCACTAATATTGTTTAGAAATCATGACTTCTTTTTCAAGATTTCCTCCACGGGCGTGTACAGAAGACATAAGTCGTGACGAAAACTGCATGTTTGGGGGACGAACGATTTTCATGGGAAAGGCGACCAGATCTTCTGTTGGTGTGACCTGTGGACTTCCACACTTGTGTGAGATTTAGAACATACTTGCATCTATAATTTTTGACCACCAGTCATAATTTAGGGGATAAAGGTCTGCAGGTGCTGAGGACCGTTCTTGCAATGAAATAAAGTCATGAAAATTCGTTCAAGGCGGTTTTTTGGACAATTTTGCACCGTGAGCAGGAACAGAGTCTTGCTGAAAGGTCCAATGTTGATTTCCCGAGGGGTCAGTGTTCAGGGGTTTAATTATTGGGTCCAGGACACTCCAAAAATATTTCTTGGCTTGAACTGCTACTCTTTGCGGTAAAAAAAACAGAGATTTGCTTTTTCCAGCCAACTTGTGCGCATTCACACCATGGTGGCGACTTCATATTGACTTCCGCATACTTAATGGGATGTCAGACTTCCGTACAGTAAATATCTGGCCATTTTTTCTATTAAATTTTTCTCTGACGGTGGAAAGTCTGAAATACTTTTCCCAAAAAAATGGCGCGTACCACGATCGAGTAGTTTTCGTCACGACTTATGTCTGCTGTATAAGCCCGCGGAGGAAATTTTGAAAAAGAAGATATGATTTCTAACCAATATTAGTACCTTCTTCATCCGTAAAAATTTCGAATAGATAGCACTAATACTTTGGGATTTATCATCCAGAACTGCTTGTACGGGAATACCTGTTCCGACTATGTATGTATGTAGATCCATAAAGCACCAGGACGACATGTAACTAGTTGGAACCATGTAACACCAACAGTGTATTGAGTGATGCGATTTCAGTTGAGTGTATAAATATTTCTCATTTATGTAACTGCTTACAAATTCGTGTTTAAAAAATAGAATTACTACCTACTTCCGAAGATGTTTATCAAATATGGCAGATCTACATACATACGTATATCTCTTACTCTCGCAAAATTCTTCCAAGTTGGTCGATCCATGTACGGTTTAATGCTTAATAAAAATTGTAATTTCATCCAAACAATGTGATATTTGATACGGACCCATTTTAAATCATAACATGATATCAACTTCATCTCCGATGTATTTGCAATTCTCAGAAAAAAATCAAAACCCGTAAAAATTTATAGATTTTAGATCATAGTCACGAACTCGCCCTAAATCAAATCTCTTAATAAGCATTATTAGATTCCCAGAAAAATTTTGGATGAGATGGTGCATGATTAAAATAAATAAATACAAAATTTTTAATTTTTTTACTTCAGACCAAACTGTAAATGAGTTGTAGCCAAAGTTCCAATTTTTTCCGTTTCGTTTGAATTTATATCAGCCCTCCCAAAATTTAGCCGTGACTTCAAAAATGGCTACAATATCAATTTTGTACAAGTTTGTGACTAATTCTAGCGAATTGTTGGTCAATTCATTTACAACTCTTCGTCAACACACAACATATTGTAAAACCATTTTACGGTTGCAATTACTCTTCGTCCAGCAAGTTTATGAACCTGAAATGATGATATTTATGTTACCAGGACTAATAGTAATACATACACACCACGCCGAACAATACACATAACTTCACAACCCAACTTTTGAAGATAAGATTATTAGGATATTTATCAGACTGATTACACATTAATGGATGACGCTCGTGATTACAGATATTCGGTGCATATTGTAGTTAATAACCTGCAACCTTGAACTTAACCAAGTCAGTCGTAACAGAATTTCCAAGCCAATTAGTACCTGAAAAAATTCTGTAGCCGCTTTTAACCCAACCTTAACCGGGTTGCATAATTTTTTTGCACGGAAAACACGAAATTCCAATCAAATCTGAACCACCGTTATGGAAAATAACTTCCCCCTTTCCGACGTGGTAGAAATTCTTAATCGAGATGACTACCTTGCCACTCAAATGGAAAAGTTTGCCAACTTGTTAAACATTCCATTAAGCGAAAGAATACATTTGAAAGATCGCGAAAATTACGATTACATCACTAATTTGCTACAGAGATGGGTAGGACGCCGAGGGAAGGAGGACGCAAATTTAATTAAATTGATTGAAATTCTTGAAAAAGGGGAGTTAAAAAGTGCTGGTAAGTTATACAGATATTTAATTAAATTCACACTTTTTCTATACAGCATTAACCAAATATATGTAGCTCATTCCCAGGGTAAGGAAAACCCATACCCAGGGGTTTTACCTGGGTTTTGCTGGTAGTCAAAGTACTCGGGGTGGTCGGGATTTTCGGGGCAAACTGAGGTAGGGTATCATGTCTGTAATTTAGCAACAAAACTGCTTGCTGATTCAATTTTAAATAACTCAATGATTAATTAATTTGTTGAATTGTTAATAATGTCATATTATCATACTTTCTTGAATTTGAAAACCCCGACTACCCGTGAGTATTGCTCAAATTTGGCACCCCAAAACCCAGGATAACTAGCATACCCTGCTCATTACGTCTCAAAGGTTAACGTAATCTGTCCATATCCTTAGATACACTTAGGATCCAGTTCGGTCTAAACGATTCATCGAACCATGACGATAACCTGCCTCCTACGAGGCTGTACGTCGGACGGTCAGAACAAGAGAAGGACATCCTTGGGTACCGGCTCAACTCAAATATTTGCATCATTCACGGACCGGACGGGATCGGAAAGACACAATTCGTCCTAAAAACATTCAAGGAAGGCATCAACTTTCAATTTCTTTCCGGCCACAGTATCACCAATTTGAGAACATCGTTGGAAAATCTGGCCAAAAGACTTGGATATAACATTTCCGAACAGGGTGGTATTCAAAAATCATTAACCGATTTATTCAAATATGTTTCTCGGAAGGGAAACATGGCCCCCTTAGTAACGGTTATCGATGGATTGAACCTGTTTGGTGGGGAAACTGATGAACTGAAACAGGAAATTGAGAATTTCATAAGAATCTGTTCCAAAGGTAGGAAGCACTTCCTTGTCATCACATCGATAAGGAGAGATATAATACCCCTAGAAGATTTTGAAACAATTGTCTCGAGATTTATGAAATTACCTATTTTCGCAAATGACGAGGCCGACAAATATGTTCGAAGCAATCTTGAAGCCGAAGATGACTATAATATCAGGGAACTAAATAGCGAATTAGGGAATTATCCACTTGCAATTCATCAAGCCGTAGAAACCATTAAGTTCAGGGGCATTACAATCAAAACATTCTTGGCTGACTATAAAAGCGTTGGGTTATCGATTGACAAGCAACCTGCGGGAAGTTTTAAGGCATCTATGCTTTCTATCATGAGAATGACTATGTCGCAAATTGTTACGGAGTACCCGTCTGGTTTCCTAGCAGTACAAATTTTGCAGCTTCTCGCATTTATGGAAAGCGATCGCATTTTGTTACAAGACTTGGAACAAATTTCCAGCCATTGGCAAAATGTCGATTATACAAAAGTAGGCCAATGCACTCAACTGCTTTCTAATTTTTCTTGTATTGATCAAGATTCCGATAAAAGCAGCGTTTCCATGCACCGCGTCGTGCAAAAGGTTGTCCGACTAAATTTGCGAAAATATCAGGAAAACGGTCAAAATATGGAAGAATTACAGCTTTCACAATTTTTCCAGAAATTACTAAATATTCCCTTTATGCAAGAATCCTCCAAAAGTAGACTCACACAATTGGCTCGAATGTGGACTTTGTTTTCGCACAAATATCTAATCACATATCGTGACCTACACGAGATACCAAACCAGATATATTCCAGGTATGTGAAGCTGGGGCTTTTCTCATACGCAAAGTCGTTCATTTTTCAGCAAAAAGAAATTTTTGCGAAGCAGTTAGGGGACCATGACGTAAGTACAGTAGATATTGCTAAAAGCTGCGCAAACCCTATGCGGAATTTAGGAGATTATATCAAAGCGGAAAAATTATTTCGGGGTGTCCTGATCGATGAGATAAAACTCAGAGGTGTCAACCATAAAGAAACACTGGACACCGAACACTGGATCGTGTCCATGTTATTCAGGCAAAAGCGGTACGACGAGGCGGAAAATGAGGCCAAGCAACTAATCACCAAGTGCCAAACTGCCAACGACAAAATGCTTGAAATGATGGTTACACAAGTGTTAGCATTTATTATTGGCAGAAAAGGTGACCTCCTGGGCAGCCTGGAGAAGCATGAGGAAGTATGGAATTGGCGAAAAAAACAATTTACGAGTCGTCATGAACAAACAGTTGCATCATTGCATAATTATAGGACAATGCAAGTACGAGCTAGGAGAGTATGACGACGCAATCAACATCTTTAATAATATTTTAGAAGATTTTCTCGAATTTCGAACACATCCTGACAATTTGAGATCGAGGTATTGGCTAATTATGTGTAAATTCCGAAAGGATGATTCTGTAGATAGAGTTCCCATTTTACGGAGTTGTGTTGACGAATTGGAGAACATTATTAAGACCCAAAAGGAATTAGGATGGGATGATCGGCATCCAGACCTTGAGGAAGCTGTTAAGAGTAAACTTATGATTGTGGAAGAGATAGAGGCAATGGGTCCATGGGGCGGTTCGTCTGTATCCATCGAGATATCTAACGTTCCTCAGGAGCAGATGGTGACACCCGTTCGCCCGAACGTTGTCATCAACGTTCCTGTCGAAAACGTTGGTATCAACGGTGACGTCGTACAAGGTGACTGTTGCCAGAGAATGTCGTCATGCATTTCTTGTTTCTCAAATCGAAGGTGTTCTTGGCCATGGTTAATATTGCTAATCGTTTTCCTGTTGGTCTGTGTAGGTTTGTGTCTGTACTTTTTCGTTTTCAAAACCCCAAAACACAGCACATAACAAATTTCTTGAAACAGAACACACCTACTGGAGATTTTAAAAATTAGCAATGCTTATTTTTGGCAACTACATAATTGGGTTATTCTCGTAACTTACCTTGCTTAGTCGGTACTTTTGCTTCTTTTGAGGGACTCATAATGGACGGATTTCAGCATATGCTCGCAGATTTGGATCAAATTAGTGTCAATCAATTATAAATATAATTAGTATGAAATTGGCAAATGGCACTATCTGCCAGTGCGCAGGTTGAGCGTAGATATTTACATCCAAAGTGCGAAAAATGTCAAGCAAATTTTACAAATGAAAAATTTGATGGCATTGGGAGGGCGTTTTCTCCTCTTTTTATGCAAATATCTCCGCTGACGTTGAGCAGTGGGAGATAGTTCTATTTGCAAATGTCATCCTAATTATATTTGTGATCGATTAACGCTAATTTGGTCCAAATCTGTGAGCATAGGCTGAGAGACGTCGATTGTGAGTATTATAAATTGGTATAGATCGGTTTTTCCTAAAGATTGTTACATATAATTTTAAATTCACTAAACACTAAGGTTCCCTGAGGTTCATTGGCACATAGATGTGTTTACGCAAATTTTACGACTAGGGTACAAAACTTGAAACTTTTGAGTACTGAACAAATACTAATAATTGAAATAATACAAGTACTAGTACAAGTGCTAATAGAAATAATACTAATACAAATACAAATAATACATGTATTAAAATTTTGAGCGATTAATTACACAAAATTGAAGATTAGTTCAATAATTACTGCTAAAAAATTAGACTTATATAATTTGAAACTAGATAATAAAAACATGTTTGCGCGAAATGTGGCTTACTAATAAGCTGACATTTTATTCTTGCAAATTATTGATATCGTAAATTCAAAAAAAGACGCATTTCAAAATTTTAACAATTCTCACTATAAACCGGCAAATTGTTGCATTTTACCAAAATTACATAACCACTACAAAGGTTTGCGGCAGGTAAACCAATTAGCAGCACGTGCCAAATTGAGGATTATTGGATTTTTGCGCAATTACGTGAAGGTCCATAATTAAGTAATTTTGCTTGGCAATTCGTGCCCACTGAATAATATTCAGTATCGTCCTACCCGCACTACGATTTGAACGAGCCTCTTTTTGGAGGTGGAAAACAACCTGATATCATTCAAAAAAAGTTTTTTTTTGAATGATATCAAGTTGTTTTTCACCTCCTTCTTCTCTCAAATAGCTTCAAATATGTTACTTTCATATATAGCTGCTTAAAAAATAAACAATGAGTCCTATGAGGTATTTATCGCGTAGAAAGTTTTGCAAAAAATTCACAACGGAAATCATTAAAACAACGAAGTCCATGGAACTACACTCACCAATTATAAGTGGATTTTGACATAAACCTGGTATTGACTTGAACTTGTATTGATATGATGCAAAACAATTCTCTATTCTCCAAGCAGCCACAAGCTTTTTCCTAAAGTAAATAAGCAACCTAATTCCATACTCAACAGGTTACAGTGGAGAGCGACGCAAATAAAACAATGATCCTTATTACGTGCCTCTGATATAAAATACAACTGAACCAATTACGAAGTTTAAGTCCAAAAACCTGCTTTTGGGCAAAAACCTCGCGTAGGTGTTCCAATACAAAATGAATAATTTTCTATTCTCCGAGCAGTCATCAACGTCGTCGTAATCTTTATTAACGTAATTCTGGAAAACTAAGCAGATTTCTCCGGGAAAGCAGCATAACTAAATTTTACAATTTCCCGATTATATTTCACCTACCCGGGGCTGGCCTAGTCATCAAAACTATACATATAGCCTGAAGTTAAAATAATCGCCGTTCACACAATCAAAGCCCAATGGCGTCCCTAACTCTCAGTCTTCTTTTTATTTTTCACCTTTTAATAACATTTATTGGTAGTAATTCCATACTAAATAAAGGTGAATCCACAATTCCTGATAAAGCTAGCGAGTATCTTGACGCATTTGAACATTGTACCACAATGATTTTCACTCGAAAAAACCTCCTTTTCGTTCTCTCACCAAGCCCACGCTTGGACCAGTTGTTTTACTTGAGTACCAAAGTTACGTCATTTCTCAGAACATGGGAACTAAGGAGAACATTATGCAAAAATTTACTATCCATAGACGACGAAATCCTGTGCAACACTGTTGGGCAACGTTTGTCATTCTCCCAGAGAAAAGTGGTCTCTTCCCTCATAATCGGCGCTTCATGTCGCAACCCTGCTTTGTTGGGCAATACTTGCCGTCACAATATTTCATTTGGATGACGACCATTAAACACGAGGTTCAGAGATATCTCACATATTGGCCTGTTTTAGATCATCTTGGTATGCGAGAGGTTATAATCGTGGATGTTGATAATTTAATGGAGGGAAGTCCTTTACTACGGTTGAACTATCATAACTTGTATCACGTTACGACGCCCCATGTCAGAATTCCGAATTCTCAAGCGTGGTACACAATAGATTGCGTACCATCAAATTGTTTATTCCAGTTGGGCATAACTAGTAAAACTGTTTTCAAACTAAACAAATATTTTTGGTATTCGCCTTTTAAGCTTACCCACGTATCCGACAACATTAACCTTTCCCATCATGGGCATCATAAAATAGCTAGTTTGACCACTTGGAATGATTTTTTCGAGTTCGTGATTTTACAGGACGTATTAAAACACGACTTAAGAAATTTTACGCGATTACATGCCATGTCACCAATTGGACGAATTGACGAATACGATGCTATAAATGAACTCACTTTTCTGCTGCATGGCGTCCAGTCTTACAGTTTTGTGTCGTGTTACAAGACAAGATCAAATTTCTACATGGTTTCTGCACTAACCAGCCCGTTCGATAAGACAAGCTGGAGACTACTTGCGGCGAGTTTCTACATAGTAGTTTTAATTTTGACCGCACTGCATAGAAAGGCTATTTCAGACTGGGTATTTATCGTTCTTGGAATATCTGTTGAAAGCTCAGTCTTGCCATCGCCAAGATTTTACGAAGCTGCACTTCGGCGAGAGGAACGTAGCTTGATCGGGATTTACAGAATTGTTGCAATTTGGATTCTCATGGTAGGAACGATTTTAACGAATTGGTACAAAACTTGGTTCACCATGGAAATGATAATCCCCACCAAATACGAATCCCCGTGGGAAAGGGTGATGGATGTTGAGGGTATTCAAGTTCTTATGCCTCTCAGACTTTTAGAGGGCGCTCATCATGATACCATGCCTCGTACTGCTAGCCAACGATACAGGTTTTTCTACTTTGAAATTCTCTTGCAGTGTAAGCAAATTGCAGAACAAAGTACAACATCTAAGGGACTTCTGGCTTATAAAAATAAAGCGAAAAGCCTGTTAAAAATACTACTAGATCGCTTTGGATTGGATGAGGGTTTAATGCCTATTAACAAAACAACATCTTCAGACCACTACAATCCGCCACTTCTTGAAAAGACGACATTATATGATTTACCCATTCAACCAGTAGAATACGATGAGGACGATAGTTATGACATCTTGAAAAGATTGACAAGTTGTGGCAAAGTTGCTCTTATGGAGAAAAAAGAAAATATCGCGAGAATAACAACCTTTCTGAATGATAATAAGGATGGAATAGTGTTTGCTAGTGGCGATGGAGACTCATTTTTTACGACGTTTATAGGTTGGATGCTGTTTCCGGTCAGGGGAAGTTACCCAGAGAAGCGTTTAAAAGTTATGATATCCTCGGGTATTTCAGCGCATTGGGAATTTTGGTACAAGAAGTGGAAACCTGACCGGCTTCTGGATCATTTTGCAAATTGGACTCACCCAAGGATCGAGACGGTTTCGAAATTGGGAGTTAGTTCGAAGATTACGTCGGGTTTTTACGTTTGCGGAATTTTGTTAGGAATTTCTACCTTGGTTTTGCTTGGAGAAATTGTAAGGCATAAACTCATGGTGATAGTTACTTACTGGATATTTCAACTATTTACTTGGTAAAAGAGAGGGATACTAAATTTCTAAGTGATATATACCAGAAACTGTCACAAGCGACCCAATCAGGAGTTTTTATGCTGGTTATCGACCAATGAGAAAGTGCGTTCTAGAAACTTTGTACGTCTGGTCCCTTAGGATTAGTCTATGCTTTAAAATAAGGCGCTTAAAACGTTGTGCGCCAATTTCTCGCCAAATTCAATTTGCCAAGATTAATTAGTATAATTTTACAAAAATGTACAAAGTATAAGTGCACAAATCACAATTTTAGAATAATCTATATGACTTTTTTGAAAATTTGAGAAACATAAAATACATGCAAATCGGAGTTTCTGAATACTATCTTCGGACAGTATTTATAATTAATTGGTAAGCAAGTAACGATTAATTTTATTTTACGTATAAACGTTTTTCACCCAATAAACAAATACCTGGAAAAATTATTTAATTTAGAAAATGGGTTTTAATGACACGAAATTTGCACTTTAAATGTCACCAATCAGTATAAAATTTAGAATAAGAAATGTCACTAAACCGGTAGTACTTTGTCATAAATTGCAGTTACACACACATGTATGTACATATGCATATTAAGAAGTCGTAGCTAAAGTGCCTCGATAATATCGATAATTCTTCAATAAGAACAAATAATAAATTTCCGTTAGTTACTGAACTTCTTCAGCTGAAATTATGATATCTACACTAAAATTGCAAATTATAATTATAAGAATTTTTAGTCTCGAGGATGTTCTGTAACTTAATAGAAATTTACGATTTTAGGGCCTCTGATAAATTTCCTCTTGTAGCGATCCGTTTTAACCGCTATGAATATTAATGAGCAAAAATATTTTTTCAAACGTTGACACGTAAATATATATATATAGGTATATATTTATATTGGTACTAGTTTCGGTAATTTTTTATTCAAATCAAGACATAAATATGTATGCACGTAAAGCTTGCTAAATCGTGCATCCTACCTTCCTGAAAGAAATTAAATTTTGAACGGAATGTGATTGATAAAAATTCCGGATTCCCTTCTTCCACAAGGAATTCGGAGGAACCCACTTGTGTAATTTGTGGATTGGAGGCTGGATAGCCTTGTGAACTGATTTGATGGAGTGCGTGTTGTATTGCCTGTTGGACATCATGCCCTGTCGGCAAATTTGAATCTTGTCCCTGTTTCCTTGGGGTCCCATATGTCCCCCGCAGTGGCGCAATTACATATAGGCAAGGTAGGCAAGAACTAGGGGCCCCGCGACATCAAGGGGCCCCCACGTCTGCTAACCATACATAATTAACTAATTAAAAAAATTTTATTAGTTAAAGAAACTCTTGATCGACGAATTTAATTGGTCCTAAACTTTTCATTATAAGTTTTATGGTATTTTTTTTCAAACTTAATATGTGTATGTTTGAATTTTAAAATCAAATGGTTATCAAATACCTACATAATGCAGATTTTTGACGTCAAAAAATATTTTAAACATAATTGAAAAACGTTTAATCAGCTTCTGTAGCCAAAATCTGCATAATTCGTTTCGAATTTTGGAATGTAAAAAATATCTTAAATGATAAAACACAAAAAGATACATAAACACACAAAACATTTTTGGTCATTTGCCTAAGGGCCCCCAAAATATAGCTGCGCCACTGGTCCCCCGTACTCAGGTACGAGTGACAACTCCCCCGTAACTCCTCCGGCGTTTCCCCCAGGCCGGATTTGTCCCCCGTGACAATATTCTTACTCGTGCACTCACTTCTCCTCTTTGCCCCCACTGTTCTACGCTCGTCACAACTTGACGAATAGTGGTTTTTGCAAGTAAATTCCTTCCGTTTGCAATTTATATAACTGTGGCACAACAAAATCAGCTTCCAGCCTACCATAAATGATACATAAATTTGTTTTAGTTGACGTTCGTGTGTCGTGCAGATTTACGAAATCGGTGTGTCCGTGAAATGAGAGTAAGATAATAATAAAAATTGTATAAAAACTTCTAAATAATGAAATAATGCATCATCATTCATGATAATAAATTTGCTTTAAAAGTTTATAAATAGCTTATTTTTTTCTGCTTCGCAATTTTTCTGCCCTTCTGTCCCCCGATTGTGGTTGCCTCACGTATGTAGGCGTTCCTTTTTTTTGCTAATTGGGGCGAGATGACATGCAGCTCTTATGATAAAATTAAAGTGGAAGTTGTTCATTTCATTGCTAATGATTCTATCAAATATGACCCAAAATTTGCTCCCAAATTTGATCAACTGAGGAGGGGAGCTTGCGAGGTTGATAATAACAGATCTTGATGCCCTTTGGATATGTGGTAGGGACCCATGAGTGTACTAAAACTCTCGAAAATTTGCAGAACACATGATATAGTTTCGCAAAATCCGCCGGAAGCTAACAACCACACCTACAGGGGGCGTGGTTTAGCATATATTAAACCTCCCGTCGCGGTCGCCTTGGGGAGCTGAGACAACAGCCATGAGATGACCCATAACCAGATTGAGTTAGATTCACCGAATACTTATAACCACACCCGCAGGGGTGTGGCTTTTTAAATTTTAACTACGTCAATGAAATCCACTTTACGTCCTAAGAAGATTGATATGTCGCATGACCAGGTTTAAGTGATTCACTGGATAGCGACGGCCACACCCACAGGGGGCGTGGTTTACTAAATTTTAACTACGTCACTGAAATCCCCTTGGCGAGCTGAGAAAATTGATATGTCACATGACCAGGTTTAAATTTATCCATTGGATACCGATAGCCACACCCACAGGGGGTGTGGCATATTAAAGCTTAAAATATGTCACTGAAATCTCCTTACTGGCCTGAGAAAAATGATATGTCGCATGGCGTGCATTGGTAGGGTATTGGCAGAAACGCCGAAAACCACACCCCCTGTCGCCACGGGGTCTACGACAATGGAATGTCGTTCACATAGGGGGCCTTGGTTAGATTTCGGGTATTGGCGACGTTGAATTTCGGAAACTACGGTGGGGGGGGAAATTTTTTACATTAAGTTTGTTGATTTGACATTTGACCACCCCCACAATGACTCCAAAGCAGGGGGTGCGGCCTACTAGCCGCTGAATATGATGACCTGACTATTTCCGCCAAGAATTTTCCCCGAGGTCCGTCGAATCCAGTCGTAAAATTTTAAAATGCTATAAAGAAGTGTTACTTGTTTTTTGACCTTGTGACCTGGATTTCGAGGGGGTGGGGCCGAATTTGAAAAATCTGAAAATACATATTTCTCCCCAAGGTCCTAGGTTTCCAAGACGGGCGCCATTTTGAAAATCCATCAAGAAATAACCGTGCAATTAATTTCGAAACTTTACATGTTATAGCTTATGGAGGGGTCGGCCATTTAGCCTTTTGGATTTATTAACATTGGCCGATGCTCAATAGTTTTAAGATGCACCATAGTAGGAATTTTTTAAAAATTGGTTCAGAATAGTGGATTCGATTTTTTTAAATTTGTTTCGCGTTGGGTTGTTCTTTAATTTTGACGACAAAAAATCTTACAAGCTTGTGTGATATGTTGGCCCTTATCACATATGTATAGGAAACTTGGTATATTTGGTTTTTTAAATATATTCAAATATGTTTACAAATAAAAATACGCATTGTGAAAGAAATTTGAAAAATCGAGTCCACTATTCTGAACCAATTAAAAAATAATAATTTCGACTTAAAAAGTTAATTGGATCTATTTAAAATATTTAAAAATGTTACAAAATTATTTAAGAACAATATGAAAAATTGGATCAGAACTTGGTTGGGAAAATAATAAACTGAATTTTAAATGAAATGTGAAAACGAATGACCTGGCGAAGAGGAAGCGCAGGAGAAAATCGGAAAGCGGAAAGGTGACTCCATTAGTCCATATTGCATGGTGAAAATCATGGTCCATATTGCATATCGCATGGTGAAAATACGCATTTTTGCCAACTTAAAACCTTCGCCATTTCGCGAATTCTGCAGAAGTGCTCAAGTGTCACACCAAATGTTGTCTGTGTTTAGTTCCTTGATATTTTAGCGCTGGTTTCAAGAAGATCCGTGTGAAACATGTCTGACATGTGCATTGTAAGAAACTTACATATGTATGTATGTATTTACATCTCATTTTCCCATACATATCTATGTATTATCAATCCTATCCGTTATGCATGATGTCGTATCTTACATTACATTACATTATTAGTCACTCATAAATATTTCAATTTTTCCAGTCCAAAGTGCAACCTTCTATCAGAAGACAAAGCTGAGAAAAAAATTCTTAGAAAGGTTGTCAAAATAAGGGGCCGTACACAAAGGTTGCGATCGAAATCGATTTTCGAGGACCTTTACATACCACCCACGCTGTGACGTACATACATACATATATACCCAATGTCATAATTAACATGGGGTACCCCTTAACCCTGAACCCCACTCCATCCTTTCTGCAGATCCCCTGAAACTCTGCACCCGAAAAGAGACAAAACAAACTCGTAATTAAGCCTTCTTATCTCGTAACTTTCGTCCATTCCAGCCCGTTCCATGGCAGCAACCTCAACCTTACTCACTCAATATCAAGTTCCCTTCAAACTTTTTAAATAACGCAAGACTGTACATACATACTTCAGTAAAGTGTGGACAGTTAATCATACCAAGTATTAAAATATCTACATTAGGTATTATTACAGATGCAATAAGCAACCACGCCAATCCTAAATACATACGTAGACAAATGTATGTATAAATATCCCTTACGTGTATAAAATTTAACCGTCTCACAGAGTCAAAACCAGGCTAAAAATTCCTATATTGTTCCACTTCTTCTTCCCGTTTGGCATCAACTCTTTCGGAATATTCACCTCACACTTTTAGAAATTAGATACAAGAAACGATTTCTGCATTATATTTATATGAAAAAAACTGCTAAAATGTCCCAAGCGCAAGTATTAGTCCCCCGTGGTCAAGACGGCGGCCGGAGGGTCAAACAACAAGCCGGAGACTTTATTCAGACATTTCATCCGAGAATATTCTGGATGCGGGATTTCCCTCAAGGCAGCAGCTTATTGCGTCGCAATTTTGGGAATTGTTAGAAAAATTACGATTTATTGTTTTTCAAAAACTAGCACATTTACAAAAATATGATAAAATTTAAATACTTTCGTAATAATTTTTTTTTTAGATCCTCTTCTCGTCTTTTATGCTGGTGACGTCGTACTTCTACCTTTTTGGTGAACGTGACGCATGCGTAGAAAATTCGATCGTTGTTGCGAGGGAGAAAAATACGTGTAAATTTTAAAACTATTTTCCCAAACTTTAAAATTGAATTTAGAAATTCTGCCTTACGCCATTTCACATAGAAAATTGAGTTATTGAAAGGATGGGTTTGAAATTTTTCAATTTCCATTATCAATTTTTGCTGGTATGTATAAATTTAATGACACGTGGTCTTTCATAATTTTTGTATGTACCTCAGCCTTCAAAAACTACTGAAATGTCGAATCCCTTCTTCAAAATAGTAGGACAAAATTGGCATAATTAATTTATAAAGAAAGCAGTTTTTTCAAATTCCTTCTCGTAGCTGACAATTAATTAAAAATATGCAGATTTTTGGGGTTGTGACGTCATTCTTATGACGTAGGCTGTGACTCACGTTGACCACATTTCTCATTTTTTTCCAGCCTCGTCCATCTCTGAGGGATTCATGATCTTTGGAATTGTCCTCTCTGTGATCCTGGCTTTAATCCACGTCAGCCTTTTAGGGGGAATACACCAGGTGAAATTTGCCTTGTACACATACCTGTTCAAAAAAAAAACTTTTTTCATTCATTCAAAGTTCAGTCATCCCGATTTCTGACTCAAGATTTTCACTCATTCTCCCTCAAACTCGTTTCATTTCACTTTATATTGGTTCATTTCTTACTTCGCCCTGTATAAAGAATATGATTAGATTTAAAGGGACCGAGAAATCCTTTCATTCTTACTCATTCATCTGAAATGACTGAATCTGTCACTCATTTTCAAATGACCTAAAATTCATTTTCATACACTATCATTCTTTAAGTATTATAATCAGCCAGATGAATGATAGTGAACAGGTATGCTTTTACATATTTGAATAGTCCCAGACTGGTGGCTGACACACATTTGCAATTTAATTCAGAAGTTGTTAAAAAATGCACTGGAGCCATTGCGAATTTGACAAGATTTACAAATAAAAATAGTTTCAAGCCACTTTTTAACATTTAATTCCAGGCGAGCTTCGAGGCCGTCACGGGCTGCTGGAAAAGTATGGTCGGCTTCTTCACTGTTTATTTTGGATTAATGGTTTTCGCGCATATCATGGAAGGTAAAAACCTTTCCATTTCGAAAGAAGAGGTTTTCATAACTTTGTCCAGTTTCTACGCAATTTGGCTCGTTGGTTGCTTCCGAGTTGAAATGAAGGTCAAAATGGAAGCTGAGAAATCTAACAACGCTGACAACTATCTTGATACGGTTGAGATAATTGAAAAGTGAATTTCCGATTTAGTAATTCTGTTGATTTACAGTGCGATGGTGTCAAGTGTAAAGCTCCGATGTGGTTCAAATTTTTAAATTTAGTGGCCTGAGGCAATATTTATTTGTCAAAATATGCAAAACCAAATTTGCCAAATGAGCGATTTTTATGAAGCTCGGGAAGAAAATTCCACTCCAATTCCCTTCGAAGGGAAAAATTGCCCATTTACCAACTTTGGTCTCTAAAATTTTTACAAATTCCAGCCATCGTAGAAACTACCACAAGAAGGTTGGTTGTACTGATTCGGACCCCATAAATTAAAAATGTCCACCAAATCGGAGGGTTGCACTTCAAACCATCGTATTGTTAAATGGGAGATTGTTGGTCATACATAAGACTTTATTCGGTTAAATTTAAATATATATAATCAAATAATTTATACGCATACAAAATACATGACTTAAATTTCATGTATGTATGATGTACTTTAATTCTTCCGTATAAAACTCTAACGCCAGCGTGAAACGTTAGTTGTAAAAATATGCTTCTGTCGTCAAAGTGGAACACATATTTCAATAATACTTACATTGAATTAACTTTGACGTATTTAAGTTTAAAGTTAACTTAGCTTTGGCCCTTCTTCATCCACCATCAAAAAATTGTACGGTTAATGAATAAAGTATATCCATTCTAAAGTTTATGTGTAATTTCGTGTTCCAACTTAATAATTTTTACGATCAGTAAACAAGTATTTAATTATTCATTGAGTACAAAAATCATTCGAATATGTACATAATATTTCCAACATTTCAAAAACGCATTCTCTGTTACCACTGTAAGTTAACTAGTGTCTTTATCGCTTGCCTATAAAGTAGAAGTACTTAAGTGGTGTTTATGCTTCACGTAATCGTCACGTCCTCCTTCAAATCCGATTTTTTGATTGGCTGACCGAAAATATCACTACGACAATTAAAAATTTTAACCAATCAAAAAATCGGATTTGGAGGAGGACGTGACGATTACGTGAAGCATAAACGCATCTTTACGCAAGAATTTATACATAATTTATTATTTTATTTTGCAAGTTTCCCAATAAAATTTTAAAGCATGTGCATACATAATACATACTTTTAAAATATAGCATTTACATAATATGTAAATGCATTTAGTGCATATTATGCACTAAATCCCTTCTGCAATGCAAACAAACAAATGAAGTTTCTTAACCCCACTCGAATAAGGTTTATAAATATACATAGATATGTATGTAGACAGAAAGGGTCATATCCCCTGCCGCGTTGTCAATCCAGTTTTAAAAAAGGCATCACGACAGAAGTACCCTTTTCGAGATGGAAGAAGTAATCAGGTGCCCTTTTCACTCTTATTATCCACCCCGAGCCGAAAAGCATTAAAAACACCCTCCTCCCTATCAATTATTTTTATAAGAATTTACAACTAAGAAATGTTCTAGAATACTATTGATTTGTGCAAAAATAGGTGTTTACAGAGTTACAAAAAATTCAAGAGTTAACTAATTAGAGATTATTTAATTTCTCCCTACTTTCCAAAGTTTCTTGCCCGAAAAATCCACCTGGTCAAATAATTATGGCGTCCAGGCCAAACAAAGACAAGGCGTGCCCCCACTGTTTCAAGACTTTCAACCGTCAGCGCGCATTGGACCATCACGTCGTCATACATGAGACAAACGGTCACGTAAAGTGTGAGGTAGGTGATGCACATAAATTCTACAGCTAATGAAATATCTACAGTTTGAGGGTACTCATGGCAACGTCTTATTTCTTATTAAGCAAACTTGCGAACGTTAAAAAATTATCGTCGTAACGGGATTTGCAAAATACGAGTTCCCAAATTTAAAAAAACACATATTTTGCTAATGTTTCCACGGATTTGTATAACTTATTTTAGTCCAGATGTTGAGAATTAGTTTGCCGAATAATCTTGCGAAATAAAAACGTGCCCAATTCCTGGATAAATTTTGTGAAAAAAAATATCATAGTTTTTCAACTAAAAGTTTGGTGACATTCGAAAATTCCACAAACCTTTGCAAGTTAAGTTTCGATACGGGACTTACGAGATATGCGAAGGTTGACGTGAGTACGCAAATTTTGCATGAATTTTCAACTTTGCTAACGTGAAGTTTGCATAAATTTAATTTAATTCTCGTATCTTTGCTCGAATTTTTGGACGGATGGAAATTTAATTTATTTTAGCTTATCACATAGGAACGTCATAGCCTTCAAATAAATAACATTTGCTGATTTACCATATTCTAAACTCATTGCATTATACGCTAATCGGCTTATTGACAATTTATAATACACATATTTAGGTGACATCACAATTGAACAAGTTTGCATGCGGGACAGAAAACTTTATTGTGATACACATTTATTAAATTTTCTTGTTGTTATCGTTTTGTACCGTTTTGATCAGGAATAACCCATATGTTGTACAGCCTTTACAGCGGTATCAAAATACATATTTAAGTCGTAAATTCATTATTAATATTTGGCCTATATAAAAAATTATATATTTTTATCAATTTGCATACCGCAAAAACTTGTGAGCAACCCTTTATGATGTTTCGCTAAATAAAGGATAGAATAAAGATCAATGTTTTATACGTAAAAATTCATCGTCTAAATAATTTAACCCATTTTAGGTAAAAGGCTGTTACATAGCCTATTCTTTAAGTATTACGTCTCCATAATGTCTGCAATTATAAAAAGCGGAATTTTGAATACTTTCGAAGAATTTATATATAAATTCTTTGAAAGTATTCAAAATTGGATGACATGATTTTGTGCCAAATAATTTTGCATAGCTAGCAACCTTTGCAGAAGTTCGAGCAGTTGTTTTTCTTGAGCCACGGTTTCCGGTTCGTTAATTGGTCCTTCTTCTTGTCGTCTCGTTTTAAATTCGGGTCCTCTCGCCTCGTTCAAATATCCGGGGTCGGATGAGTTTCGTCCAAATCTGTGAGCATAGGTTGGGAGACCTGCATTTTAAGTATTATAAAGTAAATCATTTTTTCCTAAAAGACTATTATAATTTTAAATTCATTAAACAATATTAAGGTTCCGTTAAGTTTATTGGTACATATGTAAATGATTTTAGGCAAAATTTACCCAAAGGATACACACATTTTGAGGACTGAACAAATGTAAGTTTCGGCCCAACAACAACAAGTCTCACGTGCCAAATTGTGGATTATTGGCCTTTCCCGTAATTGCGTCAATGGGCATAATTAAGTAATTTTGCTCGGTAATCCATTTCCACTCAATATTATTTAGTATTGTCCTACCCACTCCACAGTCCTTTCTTTTTGAATGATATCCGGTTGTTGTCCACCTATGTACTTCTTAGCTTAAATACCTAGTGTCAAATAAGTTAGTTTCATATGTACATATTTACATATCTGCTTGAAAAATAAACAATGAGCCAGATGTATGTATGAGATGCCTATTTGTTCCATAGAAACTTTTGCAAAAAACCTTACAAAGGAAATTATTAAAATAATTAAGTCCATGTGAATAACTACGCTCATCAATTATGCGTGAGTATGGACATGAACCTCGTATTTATATGATGCCAGTGCAAAACGAATAATTTTATATTCCCTGAGCAGCGACGAACTTTTTTTTAACCAAATTCTGAACTAAATAGGTTACACTGGAAGAGACGCCAATAAAACAATGCGCCGTATTACGTGCCTCTGGTGTGAAAAAACTTTACAACTGAAGTTATTACGATGTTCAAGTTCAAAAAACTGCGTTTGGACAAGAACCTGGCTTAGGTGCAAGAAAGAAAAATGAATAATTTTCTATTCTCCGAACAGTCTGAAAGGTTGTCCTACACAATATTAAAGTGAATCTGAAAGCAGATTCCCGTGTAGAGCAGCAAAACTAAATTGTACCATTTTCTGATGATATTTCTCATAACTGCAAACCTACCTGAGACCTGAGACGGTCATAAAAACTATACAGCCTGAAGTTAAGTTAATCGCTATTCCCACTACCAAAGCCCAATGTCGTTCGCTGCTCCAAGTCGTCTCTTTATTTTTCATGTTTTCATAACATTTATTCGTGGTAATTCCATAATAAATAATAGGGAATTCATAATACCTGATAAAGCTAGTGAGTATCTGGACCCATTTGAAAACTGTACGACAGTGATTTTCACTCGAAACAACCCTTGGCGTTCTCTCATCAAGCCCATCCTTGGACCAGTTGTTTTACTTGAGTACCAAAGATACGTCATTTCTCAGTACATGGGAACTAAGGAGAATATTATGCACAAATTTACTATCCACAGAAGACGAAATCCTGTGCAGCATTGTTGGGCAACGTTTGCCATCCTCCCAGAGAAAAGTGGTCTGTTCCCTCATAATAAGCCTTTCATCTGGCAACCCTGCTTTATTGGGCAATACTCGCCGTCACAATATTTCATTTAGATGACAACTACTAAACTCGAGGTTCAAAGGTATCTCACGCGTTGGAATGTGTTAGATAAGCTCGGTTTGCGAGAGGTTATAATAGTGGATATGAATAATTTGATGAAGGCAGGTCGTTTGCTACGGTTGCACTACCATAATTTGTATCACATTACGACACCCCACGTTAAAATTCCGAATTCTCGACCGTGGTACACGATTGATTGTTTACCAGCAAATTGTTTATCCTTGCTGGGCACAACAAGTAAAAATGTTTCCAAACTAAACAAATATTTTTGGAAATCGCCTTTTAAGTTTACTAATCTTGACAACATTGATCTTTCCCATAATGGGCATCGTAGAATAGCTAATTTCACCAGTCTGAGCGGTTTTTTCAAGTTCTTGATTTTACAAGACCTACTACAACACGACTTAAGGAATGTAACGGCATTTCATTCCATGTCACCAATTTTACGCCTTGACAGACACGATCATATAAACGGATTCACAATTCTCCTCCACGACGTCAAGTCTTACAGTTTTGTATCGTGTTATAATACAAGATCAAGTTTCGACATGGCTTCGGCACTATCAAGTCCCTTTGACAAGACAAGCTGGACATTTCTTAGAACAAGCTTCATTATGATAGTTACAATTTTGATCGCACTGCGTAGAAAAGCCATTTCAGACGAGGTGTTTATTGTTCTCGGGATATCCATTGAAAGCTCAGTCTTACCATCCCCAAGATTTTACGAGTCAACAGTTCGGCGAGAGGAAGGCAGTTCGATCGGGATCTACACCATTGTTGCAATTTGGATTCTTTTAGTAGGAACAATTTTAACGAATTGGTACAAAACTTGGTTCACCATGGAAATGATAATCCCCACCAAATACCAATCCCCGTGGGAAAGAGTTATGGATGTTGAGGGGATTCAAGTTCTTATGCCTCTCTGGCTACTGGAAGACAATCAGTATGATACACCGCCTCTGGCCGGTGGTGCACAATACAGGTTCTTCTACTTTGAAATTCTCTTGCGATGTAAACAAATAGCAGAACAGAGCACAGCATCTAAGCGACTTATTGCGTATAGGAATAAAGCCAAAGGCCTGTTAGAAATACTACTACGTCGATTTAGGCTGGACGAGTATTTAATGCCTCTCAAGAAAACGACATTTTCAGACCCGGATATTGATGACAAGTCAGCACTTCTGGACAAAACGGCATTCCAGGATTTACCAATACAGCCAGTAGAGTACGATGAGGCCGATAGTTATGACATCGTGAAAAGATTGTCCCGTTGTGGAAAGGTTGC